CATGGGAAAGGGCTCTAGAGGGTAAGGGGGCTCAAGAGAGCTGGCTGCTATTTAAGCGTCACCTCCTCCAAGCTCAGGATCAGTGCATCCCAACTAAGAGGAAGTCAGGCAAAAGATCCAGGAGGCCTACATGGGTGAACAAGGAGCTCCTGGACACACTTGAAAGCAAAAAGGCGGCCTACAGAGGGTGGAAGCGAGGACAGGGAGCCTGGGAGGAATATAGAGAAACTGTCCGAGCAGCCAGGGGTCAGGTTAGGCAAGCTACAGCCCAGATAGAGTTGAATCTGGCCAGGGACATCGAGGGCAATACAAAAAACTTCTCTAAGTGTGTCAGTGGTAAAAGGAAGACTAAGGAAGGTGTGGACCCTCTGTGGAAGGAAACAGGAGACCTGGTCACCCAGGGTATGGAGAAGGCTGAGGTACTCAGTGACTTTTTTGCCTCAGTCTTCACTGGCAGGAGAGAGACTTTTTACAAGGACACATAAGATGGGGGGTAATGGCTTCAAACTGGAAGAGGGCAGACTTAGATTAGATATCGGGAAGAAATTTTTCACTCTGAGGATGGTGAAACTCTGGCGCAGGTTGCCCCGAGAAGCTGTGGCTGCCCCATCCCTGGAGGTGTTCAAGGCCAGGTTGGAGGGGGCTTGGAGCAACCTGGGCTGGTGGGAGGTGGCCCTGCCCAGGGCAGGGGGGGTGGAACTGGATGATCTTTGAGGTCTTTTCCAACTTAAACCATTCTGCGATTCTATGATTATGTGAAGTACAGTAATGAAACAGTGACCACACCCACATAGCGCCCACACATGCAGTCCCTTTGTGTCATCGGTTGTGGCACTGATAGAAAATTACAGTCTACGAGATGGAGTAACACACGCATGTTTTGGGCTGTGTTTCACAACTTGCATACTGCTCATTGACTATGGCGGGTATGAACATTAGAAGTCACCCTAATCCGTGGCCAGGAAATGTATACTCAAGCAGAGCACCTAGCAACCGTCCAAAGGCTCTGTTCTTTAGGTGGCTACCAAGCAGTTACAGAAAGGCGTAGGTTGTAAGGTTGCAGGCTGGAGGTGGAGAATGAACACCTTTACTCTGCGTAATACCTGTCGCTTCAGCCAAACAGAGGCGTTGCACAAGTTCTCCTCCGCTCCGCCATCCATCGGCAAGACATTGAGCTTGGTGCTTTTCCAGAAAACGTTGCAGAGGTTTTGCAAATTGCCTGTTGCAAATACAATACCACTTGGATTTAAGGGCTATGTGGAGGTTGCCTTGGCCACTGTCACTTTTGAAGAGTGTTGTAATCCCCGAGTGTCTCCCACCCAGGCAGCCAGTGAAGCCTGACTTGTCCTTGGTGTGTCTATGGAGAGGTCGGCATGCTCCCGAGGTCTTGCAAAGCTTGTGGAGCCCAAGTCCTTTCATTGCCCCAGGAGCTCTTCCAAGAGGCATTCCCAAGGGCCCCTAGGAGTTAGGAAATGGCCCTTACAAAGAAAAACTTTTGACATTTTTTTACTGTGGCTGTCATGTGCTTAAGGTGCAACTCCATAGCTGGAATTCCTTGCTGCACCACTCCGGCTGCTTTTGGAAACATAATCCTTTGCAAGCACGAAAGTCATGACCACATGGCCAAGCAGAGGAAGTTATCAAAGATATGACCAGCACACACATCGCTTAATTAGCGGTCACGTGATGTGGTCCAGCGCGGTGCCAACGTAGCAGGGCTCTGACACAACGTGCTCTTTTTAACACAGGTGATGATAGAGCCACCACCATTCACACCACCAGCCTGATCAGATACGACAGTGGGCTCTGCCTGGTAATGTATTTTCCTCCACATCATTCAGATTTGCGTTGGAGCTATCCCAAAGGCGAAAAAGCATCGATTGTTGTTTTTTTTTTTTCTCGGTAACTTGCTTCTTGGTAATGCCATAGAGAGAGTTAGGAATATTTCAGAGGGCAGATACGTCTCACGGTGTGGGAGACCCATTGGGAAGAGGGAGAAGGCGGGTAGACGGTTGGTGTAAAGATTTGCAACACATGCTACTGGATTGAAGTTAACCTTTCATTTTTAAGAGCCTGGCGAAGCGTTAGAAATCATATATAATATTAACTGTGTATGTTAAGAATAGATCTCTGCTCTGGACAGGAGTCTCTAAGGCGATCAAAAATGTTTCTGTTTTTTTTCAGGCTACACTTATTTCATAAATAGCCTTCCTATAAGGCTCTACCATTTTTAGGTCATAGGAACCTTCTGTTAATAGTGGCTTTCTTGGTGCAAAAGCTAAGCGATAAAGAAACAGCAAAAGTGTAGACATAGCCATAGCCCAGCCAACTGAAACACAGTCCTTGCGTAGTGTAAACTCTTACTTCAGATTAAGTGGCCTGATGGCACTTTCTATCGCTTTAGTTCTTGCATTATAAAATTGTTCCTCTCCTTTTTACCATTAAAAATACAAAAATGGGTCTTGCCTGGTACCAGATCCAGTCTGTACAGAGGAGTATGAAGAGCGTTGTGTGGACTCTAATGGAAGCTGGAGATGGGAATCCCCTCTGCTTCCCTGGCCCAGACTGTGGTATATGGTCTTCACATACATAAAGAACTTAACGCACTATAACCATGTAGAAACAGACATTCATAGCAATGTTATATAATAATAATGATAATAATTATTATTAATAATAACAATATTTTACACAGACACAAAATGTGGCTGTTTATTGCAATCCTGGCTTTGATACAAGCACCTACGAACTCAGCAGACAACATCGAGCAGAAAAAGGCTATAAATCCTGAGACTTTCATGAATGTTGTAAGTCCGAAGTTTGAATTTGCCCTCTGTCTGAAAGTTTGCGGATGTTTATCTGGGGGAGAGAGGGATGGAGGGTAGGAACATGGAGAGGGCTCAGGTCACCACGTGTGCTGGTTTTGTCAAGCAGTGTGACATGGCGTTGCCTCCATACCATCATTAGCAAGCCCTGCTTCCTGAAGGAGTCCTCTTCCTCGTAGCAGTATTAAGTGCAATTATCAGCAATCCAGCGCAATCCAGCCTGGATTTGATCAGACTTCTTCCTGGAGGGTGGAAAGTTGTGCATGGCTCCTCTCTTTCAGCTGCAGCAGGTTGCCTGCAGAGAGTCCTGAAGGTCTCTGAAAGTGGGTTTAGATGGTCCCAAGGCGCAGGCAACAAAATTGCTGAAATTTATCCCTTCTGTCAAATGTGTGAGAAAGTGACCACACGGTGATGTGTATGCAGGATCACAGCAGACTGAAACTTCCCGATCTGTGGAGTTTTCAGCATAAATAAAGCTCAGGCAGAGCCTCAGGAGCCCTGCGACAGATCCTACGGGGATCATCCTATTGCCCTTCCAGTCAGTCCAGCTCAGCAGGTTCGATATGCCCTGCCATATATCTGCCCCACACACCAGCTTGCAGCGTGACATGACACGTCCTGCCGCTGGTGTCAGCTGTCAGTAAATCCCTTTGGTTTCAATCTTTGTTTTTTGGAAGCATTTCACACACATGTGCTGCCGCACGTTGCAGAGGAACCCCGCTGCCGCCGAGCTCCACTCCAGCTCGCCGGCACAAGCCCAGGGCTGCGTGTCTCCTCTTCCCTTGGGCACCTCACAGTGATTCAGACAGACCACCCTCTCTCAAAAAGTCCACAGCTGATCCAGAGACACCTCGGGCAAAGCAATGTCCCAGCTGCCGCAGCGTTTCGGTTTTGCGAAGGCATCCCAGCGGATGGGGGATGCCCTCTTCGAGTCAAATGAGCACCTCAGCTACGGAAAGCTTTCTACCTGGGTTTTTCTTTCCTCAGAGCCAAATGATCTGCCACAGAGGGTACCCCAGTGAGGAGTACGAAGTCCTGACTCGCGACGGCTACTATGTCAGCCTGAACAGAATTCCTCACGGGAGAGAAAATCCTAGGAACAGAGGTATGGCTCTATTTCACAAGGAAGCCAGCAAAACAAACAAACCAACCAACAAAACCCTTAACGTAACAAGCAGGTGAAGTGATGAACCTTACCAGGCCAAGGGAGTATTTATTATTAAAGCAAAAATACCAAATCCATGCTACTTCTCCAATTTACCATCAAGGCTTTGGCAGCCAGCATAGGAAAGCGTGCGTGCGGCACGGCAACCGCCTTTCGTATCAAGCAGAGACTTGGGTTTAAGGCTCAGAGGGTGCAGGCATATCTGAAGAGCGCTCCTCCTTTAATTGTTTCCCCATAAATTTGTGACTTTGGGGCTTGAACGATCTCAGGCATGAGCCTGAACATCTGAGCTCCCGCATGGTTGTTGTCAGCGGTCACGGTGCTGAGCTTGTGGGAATGCGCACCTGGGGCCTGAAAGGCTTAGGAGGGACATCTGCAGCCCTCCAGCCTGAGACAACCACCTGGGCAACCACCACAAGATGCCTACAGCAAGGTCACAAGAAATGATGTTTCTCTTCACCAGGAAACATCATTAAAATTTTACATCCTCTAGCAGTGAAAGAAAGAGGCTTCGTGGGCCTAAATGTGGAGTGAGCAAGTAGGGAAATTCTGGTTCAATGAAACGTGTTGTTTCTTTCACACCCAGGGGCCAAGCCAGTCGTGTTTCTCCAGCACGGGTTCCTTGGAGAAGCCAGCCACTGGGTGGAAAATCTGGCTAACAACAGCCTTGGCTTCATACTAGCAGATGCCGGCTATGATGTCTGGCTGGGCAACAGCAGGGGGACAAGCTGGTCGCGGAGACACCGGCATCTTTCAGCTGACCAGGTTGAATTCTGGGATTTCAGGTGGGCTGTAGCAGATTACAGAAGCATGGCAAACTTCTCTGCCTGTCACTAACCTCTAGGCAGAGGTGGGTGCCTCCAAGCAAGCGAGTCAGAGCACCTAATCCCTGGGTATGGCCTCCCCCAGACCTCCTGGTGATGTGCCCGGGGAGGATGGAGGTACCTGCTCAGACATGCCTGCTGACATGGTGCCAACACCTCCCTGCAGCTGCCCAGCCCTGCCAAGATGCCTGCGGAAGGATACCATCCTGCAGAGACATCAGCCCTACCTTGTGGCCTCCACGGGGACATCCCCAGCCAAGCCTCCCCAGCAAGGTGTCTACAGGCATCATTGCAACCTCACCTTCTAGAGATTGTCCACCGAAACCTTGTCCCCAAGAACAGCATTTTAAGGTGCTGGTGGTGCTCCGAATTGATTTTCAGAGCACTCCTGGATTTCCCAAGCTCATAAACATGCTTTCAGTAAAATAAGCCGATAAAGTAGGTCTGCATTTCACCACATCACGTTAAAAGGCACATGAGCAGGAACTGGTGCTCCATTCCCTTCTGGGAAAGAGCACCTCTAGGAGCAGAGCTGATGGTGTAATCCTGACGAGAACCAGCTCTGGGTCTGCAGAGCTGCTGCATATTGCACCTGCATGCAGAGCTGGCCAGGCTCTGCACAGTTTCTTTACCACTAACCATGGTTATGGGAGGACTAAGCCCTTTCAGGGAAGGATGAGGCCACGGCAGGAGCGATGCCTTCAGACTCTGTGGAGTTTTGCCCAGCACAGGGCTCTCCCAGCTCATAGGAATTTTATTCTGGAAAATCAGCCACAGATGTTCAGTATGAGAGCAATGCAAGGCAACCAAAATTCACAGCTAAGTTTGTTCTGCTTGTGTTACCTTATGACCAATGCATGACTCCTGTCTTGCAGCTTTCATGAAATGGCGATGTACGACCTCCCAGCCGTGATCGACTTTGTTCTGCAGAAGACTGGGCAGAAGCAGATCTATTACGTTGGCTACTCGCAGGGCTGCACGATCGGTGAGTTAGAAGGGGTTGCGCATCACGTCGCCTGGACCACCTTGGAAACGTTAATTTTGGTGTTTGTCAGCAGAAAGTGGAGAGGTCCCATCTTTGCAGGCTGCCAAGCAGGCATGCTAGGTAGGAGGTCTGCCTCGCAGTGAGAGGTCCCACAGCAGCCATGCTTTCCATACAAGGCCTCTGGGAGGACCAGCATGCTCCTAAGGTAGTTAGAAAGCTCCTGGTGACCTCAGTAAGCTCCTCACTGCGACTGGAGCAACTATAGTTCAACCTAGAAAACTAGATTGCAGTGTTCCACATCAAAACCAAAGGCATTGTGCATGAAGGTCACAGCTTCTGCTTTCCAATGAAATGCAGGGTGCTTCTTTTCACCAGCTGTGCCATCAGCGGTATGAGGTAACCTCTGTGACAATGATACCCTTTAGCAGTGGTTGATGGAAGATGACAGTACTGTTCCCTTCACCTGGTGAATGGGGCAGGACTTCCCATCAGTGGTACTCTTTGAATTGCCTCATGAGACATAGGAATAACAGCATTGTCTCCTTTTGGACATCTCTAGCACTAACATTAAGCAGAAAGGTGGCAAGACATCCCAGATGTCTAACTGGAGATAATGCCAGCTAAACAGATCTGGGCAGCGAGCCCAAGCAAACCTTCAGAGCAGGCACCTGAAGGCAGATGGACCAAGTCTCAGGTTGTTTTTCTGTTTTCTCAGCGTTCATTGCGTTTTCATCCATGCCAGAACTGGCTCAGAAAATCAAAATGTTTTTTGCCCTGGCTCCAGTCCTGACAATCAAGCACACCAGAAGTCCCATCATGAGAATGTCCTTCCTTCTGGACAGGCAATTCAAGGTGTTTCAGGTAGGGGACTACTCCGTGCTCTCCTCCCCTGAGCACACCACTGCTAGAAAAGGGATCATGCCCAGACGCAGTCCCCAGGGCTATCCCACATGGCAGAATTAATTCCCGTTAGTTTATAAGCAGAGACACAATTCTGGTGCAGGTGCACTCCTGCGTGGTCACTTTGTTGGGTGCACGCCTGCCTTCCATTTGTAGGATCTTCAGGTGTTGGAACTGGTCTTTCTATGGGGGCACTTGTTGAATTCGCAGACAGACCACCCGGAAATGCGCAGCTTTGCTATGTTGAGTTTAATGGCAGTGAAAAACGAATCCAACACTTGAGGGAAGCGGGTGGAAAGAGAAGAGCCCCGAATATTGATTTCCCTTGTGTGCATTCAATCAGTACCACCTCCTGCCATGAGCTTTACACATCTCAGCGAGGCAGGAGGGAAGGAGGAGCGGGTTTGACTTCTGCGGTCACCCTGTGCCACGCATCCCCTCACCACCCAGATGGTGGGACAGCTCATGGGGAGACCAGCTGGAGGCGGGCTGGGGGAGGCAGTCCCAGGGATGCAAGGGACATGCAAGAAATCAGCCTTGCCCTTGGCTCCTGCAGCTTCTGCTGGGCAGAACGGACGCCTCGCTGTGGATGAGGAAGCTGTGGAGGTTTCTCCCCGCGCTGTGCAGCCGCCCGCTGCTGTACAAGCCCTGCGCCAACCTCCTCTTTCTGCTGGGTGGCTACAACGAGAAGAACCTCAACATGGTGGGTGCGCCAGCCCGCGTGGGGATGAGGGATCCGGAGCCCGCTGGGTCTGCCAACTCCCCTGCCTGCTGCCTGCCCTTCTCTCTGCCAAACACCCTGCCCAACCTGCCACGGCCACTCACACATGGCGCTCACAGGCAAGCAGATGCTGCAAGAGCAATGTGCATCCCTCTGCCAGATCCATCACTGGCCGCTTCTCCTCCCTGGGCAGGAAAAGTCTTCGGGCCCTGCTGGGTGAATGTCAGTGGCCAGGTGGCACCTGATAGCATCTCTGAGTGAGGGCTGCTGGTCACAGAGACCTTCCACCAGCCAGCCCTGGGGTGCAGCCCCTGCTACTGCCCACCTTACATCAGGTCTGCTAAAGCAGCATCTGGGTGACCAGGGGTAGTCACTAAGGTCAGTCCCTGAGCCCAGATGAGGTATCCATAGGAGCTAGGGGTACCTCATCCTTCATCATCCATTCTCCCCCTGGAGCTGTCTCGGAGCAATTGGTTTATAATGAAAATTATATTCCTGAACCTCACCCAACTCTCCAGGCAGTGTGACTCAGCAGTGGCTGTTTTGGGAAATGCATCATCTGGCAACTACAGTTCCTTGCTCCTGTCCATTGGGAAGCAATGACAGCTTGAATAGTGGTCTAGTGGAAAGTCTAGTGGTCTAGTGGAAGGTCTCCCTGCCCAGGGCAAGGAGGGGTGAAACTAGATGATCTTTAAGGTCCCTTCCAACCTAAACCATTCTATGATTCCATGATTCTGTGAATGTGTTTCCTTGCAGACGCGGCTGGATGTGTACACATCCCACTATCCAGACGGAACGTCCGTCAAAAACGTGATACACTGGGCCCAGGTAGGTTGCCTGAAATGCAGATACTTCACCCTGGGATGGTAGCTTCACTGAGAGTCTGGTGTGTCTAGGGCAGATGTGAGAGGTCAGGGATCTTGGACATTAGCAGCTTGTGAGAAAGCAAAGGCAACAAATTAGGCATACAGAAGCAGTGCTGGATGCAGGATGAGCTGCCCTGGTCCCTTTGGGGACCGGGAAACACCGGGGTGTGCACGCTGGGCTGTGCCAGGCAGGACAAGGGAAGGGATGGGGAGGCCACAGCTGGATGCTGGGATCAGTTTGGGGTCCCATGGAGTCCCCAAGGCAGACAGAGCTCAGGGACACCGTGGTGGTAGCAGGTGGAAGCCAGGGCATATGAGGAGAGACTGGGGGAGCTGGGCCTGCTCAGCTGGAGATGTGGAGTCAAAGGGGGATCCAACGGCATTTCACCCTTCCCGAAGGGTCACAGAGATGCCAGGGCCGGACTCTGCCACTCTGAGCAACCTGCTGCATCTGCGGCGTCGGCCCTGCTGGAAACGGGGACAGGCTGTAGACCCTCACCCTGGTGCCTCCTTGCAGAGCCAAATTATAGGCAAAGGGGAAGGCGAGAAAGGTCCTTTTAATCAATGCAACTATTGTGCAGATAGCTGAGCTTTTGCCCCAGCACAGAAGCAACTCTTAAAATAACTTGGGTCACCGATGTCTCTGTACTCTGAGCCCAAAGTGTCATGAGAAGGTAAGGATGAGCTGGTTGTTAAAGGAAAACTCGCCAACATGAAGTCCTCTGTCAGCATCCTGCACACACAGTGCTGCTGGTGATGAGCAGGCTTTCAGAGGCACGAGTGTTGCACCGGGGCAGCCAAAGAGTCACGTGCAACACCTTGGTTTGTCAACCCATAGCTGGGGACAGGACGGAGCTGGAGGTCAAAGCATCACCCTGCTGAAAAAGGTAGAAAGCCTGGCTTTGCAGGGATGCCACCTCCTCCTGCAACCTCCTGTGTGAACACCATCTCGTGATGTGGTCCCTCAAGGAGGCCAGGAGATGCCGGACGCATGTAGCGGCGCTCACTGGCCTCCCGCTGCAGATCTGTCCTCTTCTCCCAGGTGTTGAAGTCAGGAGAATTCAAAGCCTTCGACTACGGCAGCGAAAACCCAATGGTGTACCGCCAGGTAGGAGGCTGCAGCAGCAGTGCTGGTGGCTGGAGATGCCAGGGGACTGTCCTGGGTGGTGCAGGGATGGGCTGGCTTGGAGGGGTTGGCTACGACGGCGGTTCCTCAGAGCCCTCTGCGTCCCTCCAGGAGACACCTCCCTCCTACCGGGTGGAGGAGATGCCCGTGCCCACCGCAGTGTGGTCAGGGGGAGCGGACTGGGCAGCTGATTGGAGGGATATACACCTACTGCTGCCCCGCATCACCCACCTCGTCACCTACGGCCACATCCCTGACTGGAACCACTGGGACTTCATCTGGGGCTTGGACGCTCCAAGGCGCCTCTACAGCAGCATCCTGGAGCTGATGGAGGGGTCCTGGTAGAGCGGTGGGGTCCTCTCTCCCTCAGCCGGGACAGCCCATGGAGGCAGTGGGACACCCCCTCTTGTCCCTCCTTCATGCTGGCCTGACACGCTTCTGGTGACAGTGCTTCCCGCGCATCCCTTGGTCCTCCCCCTTGCTTGGGAACTCCTTAGGGACACTGGCAGGGTAGTGCCAGCATCAACCAAGGCGTTGTGGCAAGCAGGAGCCACCGTCCGGGCAGCCCTGCTGGAAGGGACCCCGCGTGATGGTGGAGCCGTGTCCTGGGCTGTGCGAGGGGGACGCAGGGAACCCTGCCCATGACCCCACGGTGGCTGCCCAGTGGGTCAGGGATTACAGCACCCAACTCCCAAAGAGATGGGAGGGAGCTGGGCTTGTTGGGTCTGGCGGTGGGGAGGCAGGGGAGGTCCAAGAGCAGCCCTCAATTGCTGCACAGGCAGCGGGGGAAGGGATGGATGAGGCCAAACCCTTCTCAGCAGCGACAGGCGAGGACAACAAGGGGCCCTGGCCCCAGATTGCAACCCAGGAGATTTGAGATTGGATGTGGGAAAACCTTCCCCCAGGGAGTTGGAGGGTCTCCATCTGGTGGGGGTTCAGGACTCAGCTGGGCCAAGCCGGGCACTTTCCTGCACTATTCGGTCCTGGGGCTGAACAGCAGGAGCTCCCCAGGGATGGCTGCGTGGGTCAGCACCAACACACCGGGAATGGCCACCCTTCATCCCTGGGAGCCGGTGGCCCCACATACCCCAGGGGCAGGTCACAGGGCCACCGTCCCCCCATGCTAAGGCTGCCAGGCTGGTGTCCCATGGTGCCCCTCCACCCCCCATGCAGTCCCACCCTGATGCTTGCTGGAAAACCAGAGGTGGGGAAAATCCCTCCAGAATAAATGCTCTGAGGGGATTCCAGGAGTGTGCGCCGCAGCTCTGACACCCGTGGCTCTTCCTTGCATGCTAATATTTTTTGGGGTGGTTGCTCATACCCAGGGCCGCAGCGATAAATGCTGCTTACCCACGGCGGTGGGGGTGACCTGGGTGACTGGGTGTGCTGCTTGGCAGGGTGGCATGGTGGGTTCTGCCCAGGGGTCCCAGCTGAGAGCACCCCGGTACCTGCAGGAGGTGGGCAGGAGGCAGGGACATCCCCCGGGGCAGCACCGAGGAGGGAATGATCACCAGCAAAGAATCACCAGGCAGCCTCAGGGACGGAGACCTTTATTCGTGGCCAGGACAGCTCAGAAATCACCAGCAGCTCTCCCCGGTGCTGCCGGGACACGCGCGTCCAGGCCAGCTGGCTGATGGACCAGTCGGAGGCATCCAGCAGCTCCTCCACCATGCCCGGGCTGATGGCCACGCCACCGGGACAGGGAGAGGAGGAGGGTGGTGAGGTGGCCCCCAGGGGTGTCCCCCGTCCCAGGAAGTGTCCCCTCTCCCACCCCTCCACCTGCAGCCTGGCGCTTGGTCCCTCATTGGAGCCATCACCCCACCAGGAGAAACCCCACCGAGCATCCCTGCTTCTCCCAGGCGGGGGGGGCG